ACAGAAAAAATTGATTGATGTAGCAATTGAACAAATAAAATGACTTAGAAATTGGAAACATGTTCCTCAGACCTTGAAGGAGAAAAAAAGTCAAAGGGGAAATGAAAGTATTTTCTAGAAAAGAATAGCTTCTCTACTTTATTTAAGCTCCTGGAATTGTAAGCTGTGTTTTTGCCATCTGTTTAAAATAATGTGCATTTTCTCTTAAAGGACACCTTTGCCAGCAAAGAGGGATAAAATCTCCAAACTCAGTGAACCCAGTTTTCACCACAACAATGTATGAAACTCCATAGTGAAGAAAGTTTAAGAGAAAGAAAATGTATTTCAAACATTATATGTATTTGGAAAATGTTCAAATTTACTTTGGTTTATTTGATTTGACACAGTGTTTCAATTTGGACTTGAGTTTCTTGAGTGATCCTCTGACTTGTGTTTTGCATACATCAGATCTATTGTAACATTTGTTTTTCTTAGCACATCTTTTGTTTTGAAGTCTCACACAAACATTTTCTCTGTCGTCTTCTAACAAAAAAGAAATGCAAAGGCTTTAATGTGTTTTCCAGTTTTGTGTCTGACCATATTTCTAAAAAGGTGCTTCCCACCTTCTTTCTTATCCATTTCAATCTCCTGGACGTGTTGCTTGATGTGAGAATCTGCTATAAAGCCACGATAACTTTTATCCCAGCGCTGTTAGCATGTAATTAATTTCCTCATTTACAAATGAACCAATATGCTAACATGTTTCAGAACATTTCAGTGAGATCCACTCCATCATTTTGTTCACAGTCAGGTTAGTAAAGTATATGGCGGTCTGTCCCTGTGGTCTCTGTTCATTTCAATTTTGATCAATTTGGAAAATGGAAAAAAAAAATCTAGAAAACTAATACAGGTAAAGAATCTCACCAGCCTACAATGGGATTTTGATAAGGAAACTCAGAGGCCATTTATCCCCATCTAATCCATTTGGCTTCTGGTTGCTTATTGAGCCAGAACACATCATTGAGCCACTTCATGAAGGAGCCCAGTGTACAAAGTGTACAAAGAGTGGATTAAGAACATGACTAACTACGTTAACTTCTTGCTCACTATTGATTCTGAAGATGTCTATTGAGTTGCCTTGGAGGAGCAAGTCAGTTTAATGTTAGCCTTTCCGATTAAATTATTAAAATATAACATTTAATATTATTCCCTGCTCAAAATGATAGACTAGAAAGTTGCAAACCCTAGAATGTTAGTGGGCATCTCAGTGGTTACAATTGCAGTCTTGAAGTGCTGGACTCCCGGGTTCAATTCAAGACTTTGGGTGCTATCTGTGTGGTGTTTATATGTTCACCCTGTGTTCATATGGGTTTCCTCTGGGTGCTCTGGTTTCAAGTTCAAGTTCACTTTTATTTGTCATTCCAGCCACATACAAGTATACAGTGGAACAAAATATCGTTCCTCCTGGTCCACGGTGCAAATACAGACAGGACAGACAGGGCACTGGCATAGACATTGTAGACAGGATGCACATAGTGCAAAATGCAGATAGTGCAAATACTTAATACAATATACACAACACACTGGGGGGATTTCAACCCTGTTTCTGGAATTGGGGTGGGTGCAAATAGATTCCAGGGTGTTGAGGAGCCTGACAGCCTGCGGGAGGAAGCTGTTACAGAGTCTGGTGGAGCTGGCCTGTATACTGTGATATCTTTTTCCAGGTGGTAGGAGGGCAAAGAGTTTATGGGAGCGTTGGGAGGGGTCATCTACTATACTGAAGGCCCTATGTAAGCAGCGTTTGTGATAGGTGACAATTCATCGGTCTGAAGCGTCGCAATTCCCAAACCAAAACATGATACAGCTGCTCAAGGTGCTCTCAATGGTGCTTCTGTAGAAAGTGGTAAGAATGGGCGGGGGAAGGTTTGCTCTCCTCAGTTGCCGCAGTCTCCCAGAGTCCAAAGAAATACTAGTAAGTTAACTGGCTTCTGGGAAAATTGACCCTGGTGTGAGTGTGTGGTTGTGTCTGTCAGCCCCATGATGGACGTGTCCCGTTCTGGGTGAATCCCGGCTTGTACCCATTTCTTGCTAGGACAATTTTCAGCTCCCCTGCAACCCTGAATTGGAAAAAGTGGTTAAGAAATGGAGGGATAATATTTTTCAAAATTCTAACCCTATGTCCTTAACATTTCTTGTTTTTGAATTGATAGAAATGTACCAACAGCCTGGAAGTGAAACTTTTTTTTCTTATGGGAAACAGTGTTTAGAGGAATGCTAAAAAGTAGTTGGCAACTCACATTTTCTTTTCTTAATTATTCTGCCATGTTTGGTTGCAGGGCAACCTGTGAGCCTTGCTTTCAGTCCCATTACAAGATGTGGGTACAGTGGCCTCTTTCATTATCCAGTCAGACCAATTAAGCAATTAAAATAACGGTGCTTGCCAAAATCCTCAGATGAATAAAGCTCTATTGGAAGAGACTGCTATAAAAACATGGAGTGGGCTGTTAAAATAATTATGATTAGTGGATCCAGAAGTATTTACTATGGTATCTATTGTTTTTGGCTTTTTTCACAGGAGCTTATATCAAACTCTTTGTTTTAGCATGGCAACATGTATTAGACAGTTTAAACTTTTTAAATGTATGCATTATGATTAGATAAAGATGGTTCATAGAATAAAGTCTGTGAAATTGTGGCATTTTGTTTTTCACTGGCATTGTTATCACTTTCATGCACTAGCTTTCTGTATCCATTGTAGTGTGCTCTCACGAGGCACCAGTTCTGTAGGGTTTGGGCATTTACGGGGACAATTATTAATTGTACGAAGAGTTACATATATCAAGAGGACATATGTTCAGTATATCATTCATTTAGACCGTTTCATAAAGTGAACTTGGTTACAACTTCTACATTAGATACTGAAAACAAGTACATAACTCTTAGGAATTAAATTGATATCAACTGGTTTGGATAACAATTGAATTCTCGAGCTGTAATGCATTGAAGTTGAATACTCCTGGGGGCTCTCTGGCTCCTTGCCAGGCTGTGCTGTGCGGCTTGCGATGGTGCGCTGCTGATGCTCACTGACCAGCTAGTTAGTGTTGGCTTTAACTAGCAAAGTTTGTGCACAGGAGAAAAGATGACTGTGGGTCCCAGCAGGTCAGGAAGAGGACCAGTTCATTCCTGATGAAGCGCTAGTTCTGAATAGTGATTCAGCTGTCCACAGTTCTGACCTGTTCACGAGGCCTGCTGCTGATGCTAACGTCGGGTGGATCCTCTGGTTGCTCTCTGGCAACCTCCGCTCTAGACTCTTAGAACAAAGGAAAGTTCTGGCACTCGGACACACTGGCCGTTCTGTGGTTGTCCGGGCTGAGTCTCAGGATGGTCAGGAGGCTCGCTGCGAGAATGTCCTTCCCCTGGGGAGCCTTCTGCTCCTGGGCCGTCCTGCCCTGGAATTCTCTTTTGAATTCCCTTTAGAATTGTCCGAAATAGTCTCTCAGGCCCTCTGTGTTGCCTGTTTTTACCTGGAGGAACTTCAGCTCGTTCATTGGCTGAAAGTTCCATGGGCATCAGAGTCCCACGTGGGTTACTCGGCCCTACCAGTCCCTGATTGGTTGATCAAGGTGAGATATGAGTCACTTACTCCTGACACTTAGGAATGCAGTCCAGATGTCCATCTGGCACTCCCTAGACAGATAGGCGCCAATGGATGACCATTGATCATGATAGCCAGGCTTAGCTAAGTGCATCCCCATTTGGGAGCTGTCCCTTATCAAAAGAAAACATCTTTAAATCAGCCTGCATGAATAGTTTCTCTGTGGCTGCACCACAGAGATGAACAGAGAGATGAGGCCTCATTTGGGAAAGCACTGCAACACTTAATTCTGTCTTATTAACAAGCATTGCTGCTACACCATGTTCTTTCTGACAGCTTCAGGTGGATTTTAACTAATAGAGCAAGTACTATGTGGAAAGCAACATCTGTGGTTCAGTTCTGCCCGTGAAAGATTTATGTATTGCAAACCCGTTTCTGTTCATTGTACTTGATTTTTAAAATTTTGCTGCTGTCACCACAGAAGCAAATGCATCATATTTTGTACATACTGTAGTAGCAAATCCGCAGGTGCTCTTAGTAATTTTGCCTCCAGAAAAATTAAACTCTACCAATGCATAAAGATTGAGTAATACAGATTTAGTATGTTAAATAGTAAGGTTGAAAAATTAGGTTTGAGTTAGGTTTGAAAATTTGTTTGGAGTTTGAAACCGTGGAAGTGGAACAAAATGTTTTGAAAGTTTACCTTTGACAGGTCGACAGCTTACAGACCTGAGAAACAAACTAGACAGTTGTCCCATTGTATTTTCTGTAAAATGTATAGAAATTATAAATAATCCATTGTCCTTTAATTGTTTATGTAATCAGATAGACCAGTTGAGAACCAATTTTCATTTACAACAGCAACAACAACAACAACCTGGAAACTCGTTTACACAGCAGGGTGTTTACTGGAGCAATTTTTTTAAAGTACCTTGCTCAAGTGCACTCTAACCTAGTGATTTGAACCTACAACCTCCTAGCTGGGATACCAGACCCTTGACCAATGTTGGAAGTACAAGGTGTAGAGATGCAAGAAGTCATAGTGCAATTTATTAAAGGATTGGGATGTTTTAATTTGTGAGGAAAAGGGCTATTTCTGGAGAATACTGAAGAAACCACACACAAGGTGTATCCACCACATAGTTCTGAATTCCAACAGTGGTAGCAGTATGGGTTTTATAGTTTGAATACAGCTATGATCTCCCTATGTTATGACCATGAAATTACTGACCATTGGCTACATATTAAAACTTCCACATATGGCATAGTGTCTGTTCCTGATAATGTTATCTCCATCTTTCGGTTATTTCTGGAATGACACAACATTCAACAACAGGAATGTGTTTAAAATGTGCTCAGACCAGGTCACAGGAATGACCTCAGGCCAGAGTCAAATTTCTACAGTCTTGGGTTTTGTGTTTTCTAGGGATGGAATTCCCTGTGGATGCCCTGGCTACCTTCAGTCATGAAGACCTTGGGCGCTCAGCAGAAGATTATATGTCTAACCTTCTCTACAGCAACCCCGACAGCCCTGAGTACTTCGCCCTGCCCAACCAGAGACAGGTAGAATAAAATACACATCTAACACAAGCTATATTCCCTTTATTGAGCTAAAGGCAATTTAGTTCAGTCATTTAGGTTTTATCATACATACCTGTATAAGGCTTGTGATGCACTTGCTGCAACTTGTTGCAAGAGAAATTTGCAAAAAGACATTGGGTGTCGACCTGTTATCTCTTATTTCGTAATGAGAAAGGAACTATATATAGTTTTATTACCGCAGATTCATCTGTATATCACTTTGAAGATTGTTCATAGATTACTAAGACACGAGCAGCTAGACTGGCTCAGTGGTCTTCACTTAAGGATTGTTTCTCAAGCAAGTAGAGGAAGGGGCTTTAAGATTTCCTGTTCTGTGTGTTACTTCTGTAGAAGCATACACCCTGTCTTTGCTACTTAATTCTGTTCTATAGAATACTGTATGGACAAGGTCGTTTCTGACCTGTCTACAAAGTTTGTAAGTAGTGGTGTGAACCGAGCTTTGAGAACATCTTTCTTTTCTTCGTGTGGGCCTGCGAGATCTTTAGCCCTTCGTTACTGACTTATACATACCCAGGCCTGAAAAGCATATCTGTAATTTCCCATGATGCCGTGGCTGACATACTGTATTTCTCACTTTTGTCTCTGACAGATTCCTCTGAGTCTTTCGACTGTGGGCATCGTTCCGCTGTATGGAGCTGATGTAAAACACAAAGTCCTGGCCCTGTTTGCACCAGAGGATCAATTCACAGGTAGTCCCAGATCACTGGTTGCACAAATCGACAAGATGCAAAGGTGTTGGTTTTTGTATTGTTTAAATAATGATAAATTATCAACAGTCAGTGCATGCCTGCCATGTAATTACTGGAGTGCCTATGCTTTATTATTTTTTTAATTAATGTTTTATCGCCATGTTTGTTTCTTCTGTTTTCTCAAAGCTGTAGCACTGTACCTAATGCATCAGTGGTGGGCTGTGGAGGACATACTCAAAACTGCAAATCCTTCCCGAAATGGACTCCTGGAGGTAAGTGCCACTCCTCTGAAACTAAGCACAGGCATTCATGCAGCTAATATTATAACATTCACTGTCCCTTTCTAGGAAGGTATTTAATTATATGATGCCAGAACACTGCTAGTTTGAAGTTTTTTAGTTGAGTTCATAATTTCAATCTTAGTATGTTATTATGTGGCATTGACCATTCAGTTCTCTAAACAGGCCAGTGCACAAGATATCCAAATAGTACATTCACAATCAAGATAACACCAGGAAAACAGTCAGGAAATCTTAATTGAACACAAACTAGAACATGACCAACTCATCCTGAATAATGAATTACTCTGGAATTTGCAGCTTTTTCTTTGTCTCTGATCTTTTGTACATCTATGGTATGAAAATTCTTCTTCCAAATTATAGAACAAAATGTATATTCAAAAATAAATGTAAGATGAGATAAGTTCACTTTATTAGCATTATACAATTTCTTGCATTAGGAATTCGTCTTTTTCACATACCCCAGCTTGCTCTCCACGAGACATACAGACACACAGACAGGGAGAGAAGCTTGGGGTCAGAGCGCAGGGTCAGCCATTGTACAGCACCCCTGGAGCAGTTGGGGTTAAGGGCCTTGCTCAGGGGCCCAACGGAGTAGGATTCCTATGTGTACAAAACAATACACAGACAAAATATTTGGCTTAGGGAATAGGTATTACTAGACTGTGGGCCTGTAATCTACAGAATGCTTTTGTTATATGTGATTTTTGTTTTATCTCTGCAAAACAAATTTCCTTTAATATCCTCCTAAATCTACAAGAGAACCAATGACAGGAAATGTGATGAACTGAAACACTGCTCATGATAAAACTGTTTTTTTTTTTTGTTTTGTAGGTGAAATCCCTTGGGGAGAGGATAGTTCTGTATGTCCTCAATCGCATAATTTACAGAGCCCATGAAATGAGCAAAAATGAAGCCCCTTTTCTTTGCCACAGTGAAAACAGTTTTGCCAAAATTCTTTGGAAAGATAGAGAGGCCATTGGATTTTATTCAGTGAAACCAGAAGGTAAATCCTTTTTTTCCAAGAAATGCTGAGAAGGGGGTATACTGGTTGATCAAGGTTCCTTGCATTTCTGCAAAGTCATTCACACTATCAATGGTCACATTATTTAACTTAGCCACAACTCGGCAGCATGCTGAGCTGCTGGTCTGCCAATCTCCAGTCTGGCTAACCACTGGAACATCTCGAAAGAGCAAGTTTTGCATTTTATAAACAAGTCCTGCTAAACTATGGAGAGAACTGGTTTCAATTTTCAACTTTAAAGCTTGAGTCACTACCATTCAGGTAGCCTCTTCATGTTCGAGCTGTCCTGCAAACAGTAAAGACACGCCTGTCCTCTGCAATCATATCACTTCAGATAAAGTCAACAGCAGAGACATACTTTTGACATGCTGCTGCATGCAAACCCACAACTATTCCAACTGTTCTCCAACTCTGACGGCCCAAATCTGGAGTAGCGTGAGGGCAGCTCTAAGCTGTGACTTCATTTTACCATAATTGACTCAAATTGTTGTTGCCCTTCTGCTAGGCTATCTTCTTAAAACCACATCTCCAAGACTTTTATTTTGGGGTTTCAGAAGGGCTTTTGAGATCACCTCCCACTTTTTCCTTTGGTGGTTTATGTTATGCATATGTACTTTATATAAAAGGAGTAATTATAAAAGATACAATAGGCTACGTTTTGGGTGTTTTCTTTAATTTGTGTTCTGAATCTCTTTAAAATGAATGACCAGTAGCCTGAAGGCATGCTGCAAATATAACAATGATAATGGATAAGAACAGGCAAGCCATTTGCTTTTAATGATAAAAGCTTGATTATCCAGTTTCCCCATCATTAGAATTTTCAGCCCACCAAGTGACTCAGCAGCCACATTGTGACACAGTAGTTTTAGTCCATACAATAATTTAACCTCTGTGAAAAGAGGTGACTCTTGTTTTCAGTTACAAATCTATTTGAATTTGATTTCCATTTATGCGTTCTGGGTTGACATCATTGTACCCTTTTGAGTTGTGACAGTTGACTAGATGAAATGTGCTGCAACTTTGCATGAGGGTGGCAAACCTGCTTTAAATATTTTAATGTAAGATTGAACATGAAATGAGAAGGCTGAACAATGGCATTGTTGTAATATGGAAAACTGAATTATAGCATAGAAGAAATAATGCTGACCAATTTGCATTAGTGGCTGCTATAAAAAAGCAAATGTAATATGTAATAAACTTTGGAATTTTAAAAATGTGCTATTTTCTTTTGCTTTTATTAGATCCATACTGGATCATGTGCTTTGCCAGAAAGAATATTCCTCTGTTTTTCAATCTTTAATGCAGGACACCACACTTAAAAGAGAGTCTTATGCAGTGTTCCTTTTAACTGTAGCAGGTTTTTCACATTGCTGGTTTTATGGAAACCAGTATTACTTAGGAGTGTTTCCTTATCTATTGTATCAGTGGAGATTAGAAATGCAGCTCAGATTCTATTTCAGAGTACTGAAGAGACTGGAGAGCATTTTATATAAAAAACAAAACTCTCACTTTTCATGCGCCAGAAAGAGACAGTGCATGAGTGAAAGAGTTGATTTAAGAAGAGTTGATTGGTACAAGAATCTTGTTAATTCTTAGAGAAATATGGAACAGGATTTAAACTTTTGTTTGAAATCAGTGTTTAAGGGTGTTTTGGGCATCATCCTCAAAGTAGCAAAGAAAGAAATGTTTTGAACACATCGTGTGGCTTTTTAATATCAGTGTTACATATTTTAAAAATGTAACATTGGACGAAAAAAAGCACAGAACTTAGTGGAGTTCTGACTGAATCGACTGCTTTTTCTTACTTCTAAATATGGAATCTTGTTAGGAATATTTTAAAGGTGTAAAAGATGTGATTTTTTTACATTGGTAGAAAGCTACAGTATGATGCTTTTTAAATACTAGCACACTTGTTATATTTGGAAAAATGAAACACTAACATGAGCCTCTTGGTTGTGTCGGCTACAGGCAGTTTGTGCAGCAGTTACTTAACTCAGCGGTACCAGCTTCCTGTCCTCGACTCAATATTTGTCAGGAAGAGGCATCGTGGAAAAGGATACGGACTCCAGATACTTGAAGACTTTGTTGACTGCTTTAATGAGGAGTCACTGGGTTTGAAATACCCCCTCTCGTCTGCTATGTGTAGAGGTATTTACATAACGGGGATGGAGGTGGTGGTGATGTCATTAACTTATTGTGTACCATGCTACATAGCGGTTTGGCAGCCTGTTGTATTTGAAGGGTTGAAGTTTACAAAATTACATTAGTTCTGTACTTTTGTTTTCTTGAGATTGTTTTAAGCAGCTACCAATCATGGCACAGTAGGAACGTTCATAGATGCAAAAGATCAGCTGAAGACCTTGAACACACTGTACCTGATTCGATACCTGTCCTGTCGACGTGTTGTTCTGTAGAAAACTATATATATCAAAAGTGAAACTATTAACAGTGGAAATCAAGGATGACCAACATTGAAGAACAAAGGCAAAACATCTTGATGAATAGTTTGACTGTTTTCGCTAAAATCCTAAGCATTATAGGCCTTTACAGGGTACAGTATGTGTAGAGCAGCAACTTTCCTAATTGTCCTGGAACTTGGTACAGAGGGAAGAAGCATTGTTCAGTTGCTCATGCACAAAGAATTAAAAATTCAAAAAATGATATTCAACACAGCACAAATATTTATTATTTTTAAGATTAGAAATTTGAATTATTTTCTATTTCATACCCACCCATTTTGTCATGACCAGTTGTTTATCAGCATGGGTACTATGAAACCCTGCACTTTGGATTTGTGGCCTATTTACTCCCTTCTCCAGTATGCTCACTGGTCAGAGGCCATTTGACAACCCATGCAACATGTATTTCATTACATAAAACTTGTAGTTTGCATTATTTTGAATTTGTATGTATGTATGTATTATAGAAAAGCAGGAAAAACAATCCAGTGTATAGTACATAGCTGTTCAGGTGTTTATTATACTATTCCCAGAGCCAGAATGTGTACAGCATAGCAGGTAGGTCACTGAATGCTTTGAGAGTTTTCAGTTGATCTAGATTTTCAAAACTCATTTAAATCTCAGTGAAACTAAATCCGTGTTTAATTTTTTTAATTTGTTGGGATTCGTTTAGAGTAAGTACTCTTGTTTTTACCCAAAGAGCCTATCACAGTGTGTTTTCCACGTGTGCATGTGTGTAGTTTCTAAAAATGTAGCACTGCATGAATTAGGACACACAAGTTCTATTTAGGACGTTAAATATGAAAGTAGTGTTAAGGCTTTGGTGACCCAGCTCTTACAGTTACATCATTGTAAATTTGCCTTTTTGGTGTTTACTCCTTCAGTGTGTGAGCAGTATCTCAATAAGTACCCTGAAGACCAAGACTTGCTGTGGGAGGTTGAGGGTATTGGAGGGCTGTTCCAGAGGTCCCCTGTCACCAGCAGAATACAGGTCCTGGCTTTGAAGAGTAAGGCTCAACTACAATCTAGATTAAAGACAATTGTTATTTTTATGACACAAAGATCCTGTCATTTGTGGTTATTTATTTCTCTTTTTGGTGTTTCTAAGAGAATTTCCAATCTCAGATGGAGTTTCAGACATCAGCAGAGAATGAAACGCTAGTTTTGGAAGAAAACGAAGAAGCAGAGCCCACTCTAAATTCAGAAAAGGTTGCTGTATGTAATTTCCTTTGCCTTTTGAAAAGAATGTTTGACACCTTTGAAGGTACCTCATTAAAACTGTTTACACACATAGCTGATCAGCGGGACGTTTAACAGTAGGGAAACAATCCTAAAATAAGTCACTTCAACTAAATGACTTCAATTAAAACCAGACAAAGAAAGCTCTTTATAATCCAGGCTTTCTGCGTTTCCCTTTAAGGTAAATAAAAGAAACATTCACAATTAAGAGTTGTCTTTCTTTTCAATAATGCCATCCATAATGAACTCAAAGTGAAAAATAGATACTTGAAAAGCAAGTTATTCCTTTATCTTTAAGTATGTTTTATCAAAAAGTCCTGTTTTTCCATGACATGACGGTTTTGTTACATTTAACTGGTTTGTACAGCAGTTTTTAATACTTGGTGTTACTTTTGCAGGAAGAAGAAGAAAAACTAACAAAAAACAGTAATGTAACAGAAGCTGTTGAAGAAGGCAAGTAATGCATTAATCATAATTTTGTTTGTTCATTAACCACAAAGATACAATCTTTGTTTTAGACTTCAACTTGTTCTATTGTATTTGTTTTGTAAATTGAACTTTCTTCAAATTACATGACATACAAAACACAACATGTTGAAGGTGCTGCAGCTAAATCCTCTGGAGTGCGTTTTAAATAAATTGATGTGGTATTAGGTGTTCAATTTGTTTCTGTCGTCTCTTTTTTCAGGCATTGAAGACACGCCTGTGTCGACGCGTACCAGAAGCAATCAGTACAGACGCAAGAGACTGAGGGAAGAGGTGGAGGAAGAGGAAGACGCTCTAGAAAAGGTTAACAGGTAATCATTCTCCGATGTATGTTACAGTATGTGTTGTTAGCATCATTTTCAGGCTAATGAAATACCTTCATTGTGTTTGTGTGGGTTTCCTCTGGGTGCTCTGTTTTTTCCTGTAATGCAAAGACATACAGATGGGTGCATTGGCTTCTGGGAAACCTGACCCTGGTGTGAATGTGTCCCGGTCTGTGTCTGCCCTGCGACGGGCCTGACATTGTGCCCAGGGTGTACCCAGCCTTGCGCTCGCTTCTTCCGGGTTAGGCTCTGGTTCCCTGGTGACCCTGTATTGGACAAAGCGATAAGAAAATGGATGGGATGGATTGAAATACCTTCTGGTACCTTTTACCAGGTACCAGGTAAAAGGTGGTACCTTTTAAATTAAAAGTGTGTTATTTAACCTGCAGAGGGATATTATTTGCAGATATTTGCAGTGTGATGCTTTTGAAAACTTGTATTAAGATGGATGAGCTGACTCTAAGGAAGAGAGCGAGTTGAAGCTTTGCGCAGATTTTGGTTCCACAGGTGTCCTCTATCATCTGATTTACTGTAGGGTGGAGACAGAGGAAGCTCTTGTTGAAGCAACAGCAGGAGATGAGGGAGCTGAAAAAGAGCCTGAGCTACAGGAGACTGAGCCTCCTGCTGAGAAGGCGGAGGAGGCCCAGGGGACTGAAGAGCAAGGCCAGACTGAGGAAGGCACAGAAGAGGAGCAGACACTGGTAAGGGTGAACAGTGCACTACTGAAGACTTTAGATATGTCCCGAGCCTACAGTTCTGGGAATTAATTCTGAGGGGTCAAGCGGATGTACAGTATTTTACACATTTTGACTGTGTGGTTATACAGTATAAACATACATTTCAGAATGTTCTAGGATGAGGCCTTGACAGGGTATTATAAGGAGAAAAATATTATTTTATTAATATAATAATTCTTAAATATTCGTTGTTCTTTTATTTCTTTTGTTTTTCTTTTGATCTTTTCACTGCCGTGTTTCCAGTTCTTGCAGTGCCTTAGCGCGTTATCTAAAACTGCAGCGTTTTTTAGCTATTATTGTTTTAAATTTTCTTACACATCTGAAATGACACTGTTACCCAACAGTTATTCCATCTTTAATTAAGTAACATGGGGCACAGGGAGAAACTCAATTGTGTATGAAAAGCGGGGTTTTAAGGGCTTTATTTTCTTACATGGAATAATGTTGCAGGAAAGAGAGCTATTCAAGACGTCTGACATGGAGCCGGTGAACGGCGAAGTGACAGATGATTTGACGCAGACGTCCTCGGTGGCTGAAGAGGGAACGACCAGCGAGCTGTCGGATGGCCCGCCCCATGTGCAGTCCGACAGTCCGGAGGAGGAGGCTGCAGCCACACAGGAGACTGTGAACCTGGAGCAGCCGACCCAGAAGGATACAGAGGAAAAGGTGTTGGTTTAGCCCGTTTAGTCTCTCCCACACCAGTGGGAAGAACCAATCTGATTTAAGACCTGTACATTTTAACAGAAGCCTGGCTTTAGACAAGTTTTTAGCTGTTCTTAATCCATGGAATCCATGAAAAGCTGTGGGACACACGCACAGTGCTTTGACACTTCTTTCACTCCATTGAAAACCCAAGATTATAGTGGTTTGGATTGTGGGTCTTAGAACTGCAGACTTCTGTTTTTTTGTTATTGGAAGGTCTTATTAAACAGAAGGGCCCTTTCACTTGGGTTAATTTGGCCAGAATTATAAAGTGTTCTCAGTGCTCCATGATTTATGTGTGCCTATAAAATCAGGAGGATGCTGATTAACAAGGAACAGGAACTTTTTCAGCAGTACATTTCTAAATGACACAAGTCCCAGTAACTCCAAAGCCTAATGGACACCTTTTCACTACTGAGTTTTATTTAGAAGTAATTCATATATCTTAAAGTAAAAAAACAAAGATTTTCAGTTAACTTTCTTCTGTACTTGTATGAAAGCTTATTATATAGCGTATGTCCTTTAACAGTTCTGTATATTCTCTTGTCTGTGTCCTGGGTGATTCTCTGTTAATTGGGTTACTGGCTATGATTAAACTACACAATGACATTGAATTCCCTATTCATATTAAACCACTATTTCTTGTGTGTTTATCTGCTTTTAAATCCTGCAGGATGATATGGACGAAAGTTCTGCAACAGCTACCGAAGACACCACTGAGGAAGAAGCCGTTTCGTTGGAAGAACAGATTGAAACGACCACAGAGAAGGAGACTCCCCAAAAGCAAGACCTGGCTGTCCCTGAAGTGCCCCTTGAGTCTGAGGCCGAGCCGAACGAGGAAGTGCCCCCAGAGAAATCCAGAAGTGCTGAAAAAGATGCCCAAGCTGGTGATGCTGCTCCAGAAGAAGAGAGAGAACCTTCTGAGAAACCCAGCCTGTCAGAAGAGGATAACCAGCAGGTCGAGGCAGATGAAGAGGATCCTTCAGCTCCTATGGATCTCAGTCATGACACTTTGCTGGTCGTGGGCCTAAAAGATGTGTCTTTCCAATCACCAGAGGGGGAGCAAGATAAGAGTCATCTTGCAGAGCCAGGTGAGAAAGAGGAGGAGCAGGAGGAAGAGAAGGAAAAGGAAACTGCCCCAACAGCAAAGGAGGAAGTGGCCGAGAGGAGTTCTGATGATGTGGATAGTGAGCCCCCTGTCGTGGACAGGAGGGTATTGAGGAGGAAGGCTAAAACGGCAAGGGGACCAGCTAAAAAACGGAGTAAGACTTAAGAAAACACATGTGATGCAGTTGAAAAGTAATATTTGCAATAGATGTTTTTAGAGGGGGTTTTAGGGTAAAGGTTTTAATGGTACTGGGTACAAGATCTTTAATGTTTTTATTTCATTTATATAGAAATAACGTTTTTTTTAAATATGTATACATTTTTATGAAAAAATCCAACAAAAGAGTTAAGGGACGTGCCTGTACTACATTGGAGAAGTTTTATATCAATCCTGGCATCATAGTTCGTAGATATTGAAATGGCAGTGTCCTAATTATTTGTGACTTTCAGGATAGTAGTTTGTGGCTCTGTTTTCCTCAATTCAGTTGTGTTTTGTCATAGTCTATGGTTACATTTGTTTAAAGCTGTTTTCTTTCCCCACACTGAATCAAAGCTGGGTCTGTAACAGTAAAATAAACCCAGTGGTTTGGATAAGAAATGTGGAAAAGCAAATTTTCAAGCTCATCATTTACACATGGATATCAGCACACAGGGTCAGCAAGAATTTAGTTTTTTTAAACTGAATTTGTCCATGCTTCCTGCCATTCTGTGGCAGGAATGAGACTAGGGTATATATCCGCAATGCAACTCAAGACATTTCACCTTTGAATAAAGTTTTATATTACTTATTTTTTACAGATTAAAACTGCATACCAGGTATCAAAGCACAAAAACATTAACTCATATCACCATTCTCTGCATTTCCTGATTTATACTACTTTTGTCTGAAGTCCTGAAAATACTTTAATATTTGTTACCCATTAGCTTGTAATCTCCTTTTATAGAAATCTACCTTTATGTGTAAACAGACATAAACAAGCATATATAAACAGCAATGAAACGAGGGGATCAGTAGAGAATGTACTGTATTCCTACATGACTGTTGGTGAAACAGATTATACAAATACAAGAATTTCATCCAGTTGCAAAAATTCAAAGTTATGGATGTAACTTTGGTTATGGATGTAACAGGTTTTTATTATGATGAACTATCTAAATTAAAACATGTAATGTGAATAAAGTATCTCAGGATTACCTGACATTTACAGTATATCTCTGTGGGTTTGCATTTGGTATAGTGGAGGCTGGATTCACATACTGGGGTTGATCCAAAGTTTGTAGTGCTGAAACAATGCTGTCTCACCAAGACGGATTGGCTCTCTGATGTGAAGGCACCTCTCACTGTGGATTGGATTGCAGCAAACCCTCTTATCATATCTGGGGTGGTCTTGGAAGATGTGTTAACATCAGCAACAAAGTAGAAACATTCCACACCCGGAATTCCGAAGTTACAGAAAGCCCCAGTAATGTGGTTATGGTCTGAATCTTTAATGATATTTTGGCTTTAAACTCTGCTTAGTTTTAAAGGACTGGTCTGGCCATGTGCAATAGAAATTCTGAACCCCCTCACCAACCAAGAGGGTACTGCATTACCAGAGGAAATGGAGGTGAAGGAGGGGTGTTAGTGCGACAGACGTATTACATTTTAAATTGATACCCTTGAGAGCTGGTGATTGAGAGGAAGTGGGGTTTGTTCCCCTTCTTTTGAATTCCATGAAAGGGTGTCATGCAGAAACATATCAGCTTCTGTTTATTGGGCATTCATAATCTGGGTTTGTGGTACAGCCTTAGGTGACTAAACACTGTATGTAGGAATACATCCATTTCTTAGCTGAACTAAATTAGTAGTCCTGTCCTGTTTTGTTAGCATTAATAGTAATGGTTTTGCTATAGTTACACTGACACACTTGAGTAACAAAGTGTTATACAGTACAAGGGCTTATTGTGTGTCCTTATGCTCAGGAGACATTTGTGTTTGTCCATGTATCTATGTATGCACTTAGGTAAACTACTTCCAATTATATTCTTGAATGATTATAGAGTGTGATTCATATAAAAACCTTTGAAGTTTATCATAACCTTAAGGTCAATTTAAAATTGGCTACGATCATGCATTTTATAAGAACATAAAAAAGCTTCAAATGAGAGGAGGCCAATTTGCCCACCTAACACATTTGGTAGTCATTAGCTAACTAATCAACTAGCTAAGTGTCTCATCCAGCTGTTTCTTGTAAAAAATCTAAGGGGTGTCGGCTTCATCAACATGGCTGGGTAGTTTGTTCCATACTCCCTCAACTGTGGGATTATAGATGTGCTTTCCACTCCTGGTTTTAAATCCTGACTTGAACCTAGGATTCAGAGTTCAGTAGTGTAGCATACTGTACATCACTTGAAGCACTGATTTAGAAACTGCAGATGCAATTCTCTTGATTTGTAACTGTGCTTGCTTTCACACAATACTACATTTCATTTTTGAAAACGATTGCATTTCAAAGACCCAATAACCCTGACTACCACTGAAGGGAAAATACAGTGCCAAAAAATACTGCCGTGTTTCTAATTTTCTTACAGTGCCCCCCGTGCTCTCCTTAGATTTGTACTTAGAGAAAAAAACCTGGGTCAGATTATACTAGATTTTTCTTCTTTTTTTAAAGGGTGTTTGGATAATAGCACAGTATTTGGTTTCCTAAAATCATTTCAAGAATGTTAACCTATAAATGTGTTTTTAAAATGTGGGTGGTATTTTGAAGTTGTACCATTTTAAAATAAGAACATCAAGGCTCGTGTACCATTCAACCTAGTGACACAAAAACACCAAGTAAACTTCCGACTATTGAGTTCTCCCATTTTTATTAAAATATATTTATAAGATAGATTTATAGAAAGGCACCTTCCTAACAACAAATCCAGAAAGTTATTGAAATGGTCCAGATTCAATAATAATTAATCTAATTGATGTTAAGGATACTAGTATAGTACACACAGCACTCCATTTGTTGATTTCCTTCACCTTCACAGTCATAGCTCAAAATGTAGTAAATGCATTTTGACTTTTGTCTGCATCCAATTGAATACAGTAATATAAAACTGAATAGTTACTGTACATTAAGGAATTTAGTATATGTAACAAAAATGCTTCACAAAGAACACTTTTTTGTATTAGACCCAGGAATCTCTTTGTACAAACCCTGCCTGCTTGAACTATTTACAGACTCTAGTGGTGCATTTAGGAAGCTATTGGAGAAAAATATTTCAAACATTAATTCACAGAAAACACATTAGGAGATAGCTGGCTAGAAGAAAATGCTGCACTGGGAGAAAGAAGGATTTAGAGATGTCGTGCAAAAGCTGTCAACAAATTCTGGAATATGGGACTAGAATAGTGTTTTTAAAAACAGATGCCCAACCAACAATCCACTGTGCTTACTGCATCTCTGAAGTTCTGTGTTCTTGACCTCTTGACCTTAACTGCCCTTATCCATTAACTCAGGATTTTCACAGTGCCTTGTGTGTATGGAGGCTCATTAATTCAGACACTTGCAAAAGGCAATCTTTCATATAAGTCGTCTGTGGATTTTTCCACATTAACCAAAGCATTATGGGATAATCCGTTAATTCTACTTTAAATAAATGTAGTGGTTGATTTATAACTCAAGTCTATTGTTCCATTTTTGGCCATACGAGAATAAAAAATCTGATACCCTGACACCTTGAACATTATTTCTGAAATATTTAATGATTCGGTGGCACAGAAGTGCAATCTTTTTTTTCTGTGATTCACCTTGGGAAGACAAGCCCATAAACATCTGCTCATAGAGACATGATCATAATCACTGTCGATTTACTTCTGTTTATTACCAAAGCAGGCTCTGGTTTTGTCTAAAATCATATGCAGAGATACTGATCACTACCTTTTCACAACTGATCTGTTTTTTATTTTTGGTCTTCCATGTTGTCGAAAGGGAATATGCAAGTTTAGATTAGCATTGTTAAAACCATAAATGTTTTTTTTTCCCTACAAGTTGGGTAAATTAACCTTTAGAAAGCTTATAGTTATTTTTTTAGTAACCCACTAAACGTTTCAAAAAATGCTCCTTACTAATTTTTCATTAAAACACAAATCTCAGTTATAGTATGGTGGAAGTGAATTAGGTTTTGAGAGATACATTGGCTATGCTTAACAACTTTATAGGTCGTGAAGCTTAACTTTGTAGAGTTCAGCTTTATCAGGTTCTGTAGTGAAATCTGGCGAGGAGGAGCTTGGTGCAGGGAATGGAAAAACTGCACTAATTCTGCTCAAGTCTGCAGATCAACCTTTCATTTCTAAAATACCAATCCAATCAAACACCGGCTTGATTTCGTAGTATACATGATTAGTACTCAGTGTAAGGTTCTTATTATACTAGGCGGTTGCATGTTTTTAAGGGAACACTTTTGAAGGGAAAGTTTACTGCAGCAATTTAGTCTTTTGTATTCTTGTTTTCCAATTACGTCCTGGCACCTATACCCAAACCTTTGCATTTGCCTCATCTGATGCACAGAACTCAAAAGCCATGGAAAAGATTGTTTCACTAGCGTAACCTAAAAGTATCATCATTTGTAAAACTGCCAGCAGTTTCATTCCTGATTTTTGTGTCACAATTTTAGCCTGTATGGTAAATGTTCATGGTGTGTGCTTGTTTTAAGATCCAAGATATGTTAAGATGGCAAACAAAAGGATAGTTATGCTGCTCTAGTTTTTTACCTGAAATTTTACTGATTATCATTAACATTTTGGTATTGGTAGACCTTTAAGAAACAATGTGCATTAGTTATTTGTGTTTACTGAGCCCTTTTTTCCAATGCTGTGATTTGTAACATTAATATATGAGTATGATTAAAGATATTTCTTGTTGAAAACTGCAGTTTTGTCATTTAACATCCCTACTCTTTTCGAGAAATGCTCTGGGATTTATAATGACCACAGAGAGTCGGGACCTCAGTTTTACATCTGATCCAAAGGACGGCGCCTGACTACAGTATAGTGTCCCCATCACTATACTGGGGCTTTAGGACCCACATGGACCACAGGGTGAGCGCCCCCTGCTGGCCCCACTAACACTTCTTCCCAGGAGGTCTCCCATCCAGGTACTGACCAGGCTCACACCTGCTTAGCTTCAGTAGGTTGCCAGTTGTGAGTTGCAGAGTGATATGGCTGCTGGCGATAATACTACTACTACTGATTAAAATTGTAGTAATATTAGTAAATCAATAATTAGCTTCTGGGAAAACTGGCCCTGCTGTGTCTGCCATTTCCCCTGCTGCTTGCTTGGATGTGTTCTGGCTTTCCCGTGACACTGAATTGGATAAAGTGTTAGAAAATGGATGGATAGACTACATAAAGCGCAGCTGTCACCACAGGCAAATGAGTCTGTGTCCACTTAAGAGCTAAAAAGTCTTAATTTCTGTTCTTATATAAAACTGCATCCTTGGGTCTAGAAAAGCATTTTATAAATAAGTTGATTAATTTGCAAGAACATATTGTGTTGCACTCTCTCCCTTTATCCTAACATGATTATACTTTCTACAGTAATTATATTTATATAAGTAATTATATTTCTATAGTACTGTACTGTGACAGGATGATCTGTTGTCAGTTGGTGCTTCCCATGAAATATTATTTTTTATACACATCACAATCCAACCATCATTTTAAATTTCAGAAGGATGTAAGTACAACACATTTTAGTTTCATTTAGTAATGCTTCCACCATTGAACTAAGATATTTCTTAGAACTAGAGGTGGCTCCAGAATACATCCATCTGAACTGAAGTTTAAACATCACAACACAGGCAAAAATAATTAGTTTATTTTGCTTTCTTGTCTTCATTACAAGTAACCAGTGTGGCAATGGGTGTCGCTGGCCACTGTTCAGTGCGGACTCTTCTATCTGGATGTTATCCTTTAAAAGCTGCTTCTGACTTTCTGGAATCTTAGAATGGACATCAAGTCCTGGTCTCTGTCCAAATGGAACAGTTCATAAAGCAGTGTCTTTACACAAGCAAAACTGCATTAATGCATCCATCATTTTCTGGGTTGTTTGTTACTTGGGCATATTTACCTAAAAAGAAATACAAAAAAATATTAAACTCCATCCTCCACAAATTACATCCAGATAAGAAAGGTAGACCTGCACTGCAAGAGCTGTATTGCAACAAGACATTCAAAGAAACACACTTTAATATACACTGCTACCTCCATCTGAACCCCTACATACAACATCTGTTTTCAAGTGAGTGCAAATGTTGCAGACCTTTCGCTTTAATTTTAAAAGTACTTCAAAAAAGTACTCACAGGCAATTGGATAGAAACAATTCACAAAAAAGCCATAAGAGCTAACCCAAAATCAGATCTTACCCCAGATGACTTTGCCCCCCTGTGTGACCAGGCCAAGCTCGCTGACGTTGACCTCAATTACTGTGCCCTTGGTGATCACTCCCAGAGAGGTGTACAAGGGGGACGAGGGGTTCTTTTTCACACCAAGGATTGGAAGGCAAAAAGTGGCTTTTAGCTCCGGATGCGTTACGTGTGCTTTCTTGAAACGTAAACCCTAAAAAGAGACACCACAGGCATTATGTCAAAGGCGACATGCAACTCTTAATCCAGCAAGGTTGACATTTTGTCACAAGAACTTGCCAGTATGAATTAAGAGAACACATTGTATATGGAGAACGCAGAAGCTTTCTAACAAATGACTCTTCATGACAGTATTCGAGGACCGTGCAGCAGTATGGCAAACTAATAGAAGCAGGGGCTGCATTTAGAGGTTATCGAAATTATCTTCTTCCCTAACAGATTTCACATTTTGTAATGTTTTGTAAGCAAACCACAACATTCTTAATAAAAACCAGCAAAGTCCATATCCTTGCTTTACGACCCAACTGTAGAATGCTTTTAACATTGCTCTTAACGAGTATTTTTGTTGCTAAAACAAGAAATTAAAAAGGATACAAGAATAATAACAGAAGCATGGAACTGTTCTAATGAATAAGAGACGCTACATCAAGGCTTGAGATTTGACAAGCAATCACTGCTTTTCCCTCTTTAAAGAACTCTCTCCACAGTGCCGTCTCCAAAGGTCAATAACCTTATTTAAATGTGTTAACTGCTTGTTAACAAGTACTTTAATTCACACTTCTTTTCAATGATTAGGATAATGTATCATTAGCAGAATGAACATGGCACTGTCATTTCTGAACAGATTGGTCAGGCTGTGTAGAAAATAACACTGATTACAACACGTGCATGGCAGCCACCAGTAGTTATGGTAGACTTGATCAGCAATTACACAAGAGCATGCCACTATATGAAATATAAACACATTCTTTGAAATCCAGTATACACACAGTAAAAAGAACGGGATACAAAGATAATTCTTAATCTTATAAATATTTTTGTATAACCCTTATAATAATATAATATGTAGCACCCATAGTACTGAAATGTGCTTAAAGCTTTGCAGTTTCTCACTCTAAATATTAAACCTCCTTTAAAAGATATTTGCTTATAACGTTTTTTATTGTGGAGAAAAACTACACATAATAAGACAATTAAATTTACACTGTCATAGCACAGTTGTTGGTGTTGGTTCTGAGCATGAAATAAAAATTAAAAAGGAATCTGATCTTATCCAGCAGCTAGCCCCTGTTAGTCCATATAAAATATTTTAAAAATGTAACTGAGAATACGTTCGCAAAGGGAACAGGGTGATTAAACTGCAATTAACTTCAGGTCTTGCCATGTTCCTTGCTGCTTACCATGGGTCTGATGAATCTCTCGTATTTGGGTGGCTTACGAGTGAATCCATCTCCAACGAAGCACACTTTGGTGACCATTCTCTTCCATGCTTTCTTTTGCCTCTTTCCTGTGCGAATGACCTTGAGCACCTCCGTCTCACCCTGAGCTCGTACTTTGGGTAGTGGAACTTCCCATTTACCCTAGAGGACAACAAAGCTTTAGTTATTCATATTACAGAAAACAACACTTTTACTCCAATGGGTCATATAATCATTTATTCTAATACAGGACACACCTATTAATACCAATCAAGCAACTCCTAGATAAGGAACAGGTACTCGATACACCTGGAAGTCCACAGTACTTTTTGCTTCAAAACATTACTTTTCAATTCTTAGTTGCTGTTCAATGGTAATATCTGCCGTGCTGGCAAAATATAAAAAAATGTTCATGTGTCTAATGACCTGTAACGTAAAAGGATAAGAGGAAGAAAAGTAGAAGATGATTGTACTAATAGTGCCTAAGAACACAAAAGACACTTACAAGTTACTCTAATACATCAGGTGTCAGATAATTCCTGTAGGCTTAGCATATTGTTTTCTTTTCTCAGCACACGTTCTCTGTTAACAAACTGCTAATTAAATGGATAATGGTAACATTTCTAACCAATTCTATAATTGGTTATAGAACCAAGCTATAACTGTAGCTTTAATAAATTGAAGATTTTTGAGTAATAAACTGTAAAACACCTTAAGAAACATTCTATATATTGCTGTGAAAATGTTGATGAAATGATGTATGAAAGGGATATTAACTGCCTTATTGACTACTTGGATTGTAACCAACGGAAGATGGTAAACTCTTGAAAAAAAATGGGTTTAAATTATCTAAATCATTCTAGCTAAATGCTAGAAAACTATCTTTGTAACTTGTTCACTTTGTAAACTTTCCCCGTGTCTTAATAAAATGGGGATCATTTAATAACCTTTGTCACAGATGCATTAGCTAAAACTTAAGAACTTTTCCCACATATGTGTCAGTTTTCTGTAAGGGAAAGCACATGCTAAAAGGGTTTTAACTTTCTCTTCTTGCATTCCTTTTAACTTTCCTGACTGGATGCAAAAAGGCAGGCAAAAACCATTTTTTTCCATTAGATTTTGAGTAAAGTCTGCCCAGCCATTACTATGCTATAGAATCCCAGGCTTCAGTACTTACAGCCTTTTCCTTCCTCTTCTGTTTGATCATGTTGGAGAGAACTTTGGCACGGGATTGCCCTTCGCGATCCAGCAGGTAAGCAGGTACCGCTCCTGTTGGCGTCTTGTCGTCATTCTTCTGCTTCGTCTGTCTCTGCTCATGCATTTTGATGCTATCAAAACAAGATGACATTTTTAATTTGTAGCCACCAGCTATATTACCCTGCAACTCACAACTGGCAACCCACTGAAACTAAGCAGGTGAGAGCCTGGCCAATACCTGGGCTACAGACCTCCTGGGAAAGCTAAGGTTGCTGCTGGAAGAGGTGTTAGTGGGACCAGTAGAGGGCACTCACCCTGCAGTCGGTGTGACTCCTAATGCCCAAGTGTAGTGATGGGGACACTTTACTGTAAAAAGGCGCTACCCTCCGGATGAAACGTAAAACTATGGTCCTGATTCTCTGTGGTCGCAGGGTGTTTCTCGGAAAGAGCAGCCGTGTAACACTGGTGTGCTGGTCAAACTGCCCCCTGGCCTTTACCAATCACAGCCTCCTAATAATCCCCGTCTATGAATTGGCTGCATTACTCTGTTCTCCTCCCCACTAATAGCTGATATGTGGTGAGCGCGTACTGGTGCACTTTGGCTGCCGTTGCATCATCCAGGTGGTGGAGGGGAGTCCCCTTGATCTGTAAAGTTCTCTATAAGTGTAATCGTATTAGTATTACTGCGATACTATCCCTAAAATCCCGATTCCCCATCTCTTGTTCAACTCGTGGGGTACAATTACATTAACTGCTGTACTCACGTCTTTTTCATCTGGATCTTTTCAGCGTGTCTCTGCTTGTGGTAAAGTTTGGCCTTCAGGCCGATCATCTTCCTGGCCTTCTGTGACCGCTCGTGGGCCTCCCGGCCCTCCTTCTTCCTCTTCTTCTCATGGTAGTCCAGGCGGTAGCCGTGCCGCTTGCGGTGCAATTCAATGTGTTCGTTCTGAGGCTGGGAAAGGCGAGGGAGGACAACAGTAATCAGCAGCAGCGGACATCCGTGACAGTGCTTTGAAAACTCTGACACTGTTTAACCAGTGCTCAGACCACAAGACTGCAAAAAGAAAGATCAGGCTTTCAGGTCCTGAACCTGGAGGGCTGTGATATGTCAGCAGGCCTTCATTCCACCTTTCATTAACAAGTTCAAAAAGCTTGATTACTGTCTTAATCAGTTTACCTGCTTCTCCCAGGTCTTCAGGTGCTGCTTTAAAGAGACCTAGAGAAGCAGACATGCTGGCCCTCCAGGAGTAGAACCGGAGTTGTTTGAATTTTAGTTTGCTGTATTATTGTTTTTTTTTTCTAAATTAGGACTTTTACATGTTCATTTAAAAACAATACAATAAACGCACAGTACTGTTTCCTTCTCTATCTCTCCTCTCCTGCACTGTCATCTGTGCATGATTTAATCCTTGTCTCAATTTTGAAATGAACAGAGCTCTTATTTTCCAGGACAAACAAAAGAACATTTAAGAAACTACAAATTTCAGTCCAATATTCTTCTTATTATAAGGCTGATGCTTTTACCTAAATTGACAGGAGGTTTTATTCACTTATACATCTGGAAATCTTACTGGAGCAGTCTGATTACGGTGATTTGCTCAAGGGTAAAACCCACAACACTGCAGGTCCAAGTCCAGAGCTCTGACCACAAGACCTCCATGAATGTACAGTTAAGAGTCTGAATTTTAATATATTTACAGTATAAGCTCCAGCAGTGTTTAGTTACACACCTGTAACAATTTATATAGATTTACTACACGCAATTATTAAGAAATTATATTACTTTTATTTCCTTACTCACATATGAACTTAATGTTTTCCGACAAAGCTAAAAAAACAGACCCAACCACATTTTATTTAAAACATAAATTAATCACCTTTTAAAATACAGTTATTAAGATTGGAATTGTGCTTCATGTCTAAGCCAACCATACTAACGCATCACTCACATTAATAATTTTCTATAATATTGGTTCCATATACTCACATATTAAAATAAAACATAAGGAACAAAACAGATCATAACGAGTAAATATCTTATAATTATTCAGTTTTTAATAAGACACCAACAACGTTTTAAAAACAAACCTGGACAAGTACAGAAACTGAAAAACAACACACTGGCCTGTAACAGACGACTCTGATGTTAAAATCTAGCATTTCCAGCCGTCACCGCCACGTGTTTTCAACAAAAATTACAAACAGCCGATTTCTGATACTGAGCTCGGTAACTTACCATGATGAAGACTACTCTGTTTTACAGATTCCAGGTAAACAGTGCTATCCGGGAGGGGGGTATCCTTTCTTTTTGCTCCTTTTTTAAACCTTAAATTTCCCAACTCCTTTCTCCCCCGTCCCCCAGTGGAAAAGGAAGTTCAGCCCACAAATACAACGTCACATACGGAAATACCGGAAAAGACGTTAGCTGGAGCAACAAAATAATATCACCGCACGGACGTTTACGTCTTCTACAACTTAATTATGTGGATTTTCTGTCGTCTTTATTTTTTTGGAATAACCTCTGTAAACATTCTTCAGATCATAGGACACATTAAATATACTATATTATAATTGTCTTTTCTTCTTCTGCAAGAATGTGAATTAAATCCAGAATAAGAAAATATATGTTCTCTCTTGAAATTGGGTGTGCTTCGTTTATCATCGTTGGGATAGTTCACCTTGCAGTGGTAATAGTATAACCAAAGCCCAGAACTATGAGACCGGTAGTTATGTGCAGAAGTTGCAAAATGACGGGTTCGTGAAAGGTAAATAAAAGAAAACTTTTCGCCTTGGGGGCTTCTTCACGTTCTGTAGAAAATGAACTGATTAGTTAATTCGAGTTTCTCTCCGGAACTTTCTTTTACAGTAGTACAGTTACCCGGGAGAATTTATTTTCAAGAAACACCCCTTTAGCAGGTTTGCAGGGGCATGTGAAGGAAATGTCACGCTGGGCTGCGGTAGTTGTATAGCTGTCTTTGGTAAGATGTGGATAGTCTCTTAGTTGCGTGATCAGTAAAACTAAAACTTGTTTCAGTTGGCTTACTTTAAAAATAATGTATACAAATGAGCTTTTCGCTGTTTCCAAAAAGCAACTAATATTTAATTGATGTCATTTCATCAGGACGTCTAGACGATGGTCTAGCCTAGCTTCAGTCTGGAAATAGTGTACAGGTAAGGTCAACCTGTTCATGGGTGCAGTATTTATATAATTGGTTAGCTTTAATGACGTTTCCTTGAAAACGAGACAGATTAAATTGTTCTTAAATTAGTTTAATGGTCCTCGAACAACAAAACACCGTTCTCAGTCCCAATATATTCCTGTAGACACACAAATATAACTTTTGCCATGACAGAAACCTACTGTATAAAAGGCGGAGAAAAAAAGAAAAGTCAGTTGATGTGAAATGTTTGTTTTTCAGTGGTTTTGTCGCAACGTATATATTATCTTATTATTTATAAACGAACAAATATAGGGGAAACGGAAAGACTAAGGTCACCACAACTATCATGCACTATATTGTACAATTCTTAACACAATTCTAAGTTTTTAATAAGTATAATTTAAAAAAAGCAATTCAGCAACAACCATACAATTATGTTTCTGGCTTCTAATCTACATGAACAAAATTATCAGATTAATCAGTATAAATAAGACATTGTAAGACATTCAATGTTCAGAATTGTAGACTGCTCAGATCCAAACTGAAATGTATGATCATATATCTCCTGTTTTAGCTTGTTTGTATTAGTTTCCTATGGATTTAATTTAAAAAATCCTCAACTGTTACTACCCTTATTTTGTGTTGTTGTAAACTGCCTTGAGATGATGTTTTGAAAGGATCTATGTAAGAGAAATGTTATCTTCAATGTTACCTGTGGTGTTTTCATTTTATTTCAGAAGTCCCGTCTGAAAATAATTTTACAGTGTTAATGAGGATGACAGTATCACACATGCGTTGGTCTTCCAAACTCTGCAGTGGGGTAAGATTCAAACAAGATATTGATAAATGTGTGCATTGTGTATTTGTACTATGGTAATCTATAAAAAGACATTGGATTATTTTTGCTGAAGTTTGTGTGTCTGTTTCTAGTGCACTCAATGCTGGAAGACCAGATGTCAAGCTGAGTTTAGATGGAGATTACAAGGAAACAGGAACTACAGTTTCTTACAAGGCACGTTTTATAAAATAATTCACTTGCTAATGCTTGGGTACTTGAAGGCCCATTTCAGTAAGGATGAGTAATTATAACAGGAAATAAGAATAATAGAAATATTTACATTCAAAGCACAATACCCTCACATAGAGGTCACAGAGTTGTATCTTAATACTGATTGTGCAAAAGAAGGTTTCAAATTTGTTCTGAATTTTTATATGTGGTAAAGATCTTCATTAACTCAAGTGTTCGTGTGTCATTAAACATTAAATTGTTAAACTGTACAAGCATCCCCCAGAGAGAAGTGTCTTATAATCTGTTTTTTTAATCTAAATTATAGAAGATGTCAAGTCAGTACGAGGAGTGGTCAGCCCAGATATATCTAAGTAAGTATTACACAGATCCTTGTGGCCTGAGAGATTTCACTCTATCTGTAATATATATTATAATATATAATTCTATGATCATCACTGCTCAATACTGATAAAACATATTGCTGCTATAAATCAGCTCATTTTATTGTTGCAATAACAATGCAACATGAGATATTATGATTTATTATTATACATCAAGGTCATATCAGAAAACACCACATGGTTCTAAAGGCTTTCTTTGAGCTTCATGCGTGGTACTTGTGGAATACAGTATTATATAATGCAGTATATTTTATGCTGTTATCCACATTCTGATTTACCCCAATCATTTTTGTCTAATGTAAAGTTCTGTTAATATGGCACAGTCTGTTGAACTGCTCCACTAAAGTGTTTTGTTTTTTCACATTTTTGTTTTCCTCTTATCCTTTTTTTTTATAATTGATTTTAAAGAGTGGACATTTCTTTTGCTTTTCTGTCTTCAGAATCCGCAACATCGGCATCATGGCTCACATTGATGCAGGAAAGACTACAACAACAGAAAGAATGCTGTATTATGCAGGATATACCCGGGCTCTAGGAGGTGAATCTAGTTTTTAACACATGTATTTACCTCTAATGTTCATTATAAATAGCATGGTAGTTTTCATTAACCAATCTTGGGATTCCTAAAGAATAAATGACTATGGAAGCTGAAATTCCTCTTTCTCTAAGCTTAGATCCTCATGATGATGATGTCATTTTAGGGTTTTGCTTTTCAGTAAACCTTGCATCACTCACTGAATGTCTTTTTTTTTTAACTGCAGCAACAGTGTGTTAGTTCTAAAAATGAATGTGCTGTGCAAAGTTGCTAAACTGGAACCACAAAAAAGTGTTTTGTACTCTGGGTCCAGTAATGCTAGAAATCCGTGTGATGGTCTTTCAAACTTCTGGTAAATATTTGAATGTTCTATAAACATGCATCTTAAGGTGATGTTTATATTTTCACGTAATAAAATCTACCAATTACACAATTAGTACTTCTAGAAATTTGTCAAAAATAGAATGGGCTTTTTTCACAAATCTGATTTTATGTGCTGTAATCAGTTAATCACTTGTTTTTATCCATAATTTCAGTTGAAGGCTGTGTGAAGTCTAAGTGTCTGTGTGATTGTCTAAAGGAGTTTGGACTCTTAAACATATTTATTTGTTTAAAAACGATGTACCTTAGATGTTGACGATGGCGATACGGTGACAGACTTCATGGCGCAGGAGAGAGAGCGAGGCATCACTATTCAATCTGCTGCTGTGACCTTCGACTGGAAAGGGCACAGGATTAATCTCATAGACACTCCAGGTACAGACGGGACGCTGTGTGTCATGTGAGAAGAGACACTTTTACAGTACAGTCTGAATTTGTCAGTGGTTGAACTTACAGTAACAGTATAGTACCATTACATAGCAATATACAACATATTAGTTTATATATAAGGGGACAATAAATATTTAAGATCTAGCAGACAAGCATATTTAATAAAATGCACGTGCTCTCTTGTGGACAGTTAAGACTTTCTAGGTACACATCAGCCTTGCAATATTTACTGTATATATGCTACCTCATATGCAGTAGATATGTATAATCCAGTGATACTCAAACTGTCTGCCTACTGATCTGCATCTGTCTATGTCACATGCCTTGGCCAGCCAAACTACCAGATATGTATGTTTTTGCTTCTGCTCTGTTTTATGCTGGGTGTTATGCCTCTGTTGGGTTTGGTTGTCAGACCTCGTTTTGATAAGACGACTGTACATTTGCTGCTAGCACACCCTGCTTTAATGATATTCCTTGGAAATCTCTACTCAAAGAAAAAAAAATAGACCAGAGAGAGAGAGAATCCTCTAAGGATTGAAATGTTAGATTACATTTGTGCTTGTTTTTATACATGAAACAGTAAAGGATAACTTTGGTTTTAGAGAGTAGGGAACTATTTTCATGGCTGACTAATCTTTTTTTTGGTTGCACCTCTATCCCTTTATTCATTGACTAGCAGTCTCTCTTTTTTCGCAGGCAGAGCATATTGCATGTTTCCGTTGATTTAAGGAATAAATTCATGTTCTTGTCCTTGACAGGCCATGTAGATTTCACAGTGGAAGTGGAGAGAGCTCTGCGAGTGTTAGACGGAGCTGTTGCTGTATTTGATGCCTCAGCGGGTGTGGAGGTGGGTAGGATTCTGACCTGGTTTGAGAGTCTCACGTATTTAATTTCTTTTTTTTGTATGCAAGACAGAAAACATAAAGATTTGTTATTAAAATATCAAGCATCATGACATTGCATTTAAGTTAGTAATGTTGTTGTTTCCAGTACCTAAAACTTTATTAATCTCCTTGAAGTACTGGTATATTTTAATATAAAATCATAGCTCACTTCTTTACAATTTTCATGAATGTTTGAGATCTGCTTTTCAGAAGTAAGTCTTATTTACTTGGTAGGGTATTGAAGGAGGACAAAGCTCTTCCTGTTAAACATAAGAGGCTGAGTGAAATTAAAAACTCTTTAGTCTTTCTGTTGTGAAAACAAACAGCAAACTTTCAAGTTTCATTTTTTCATCTAATACCCTTTCTTTGTTTAGATCGTATCTGCAAATATTGCAAAAAAAAAAGGTTAGAGCGCTAGCAGGTTAAGTTTTTGACTTGTTCTTACAAGCCAACAGCTAGTGCTCTATGTAATGAAAGACGAAGCCGTGTGACAGATGAATTTTGTTGTGAGTTGTTATTTTCTCTGTGCTCCCAGGCTCAAACTCTCACAGTGTGGCGTCAAGCTGACAAGCATCACATACCGCGGATCTGCTTTCTCAACAAAATGGACAAGCCTGGAGCCAGGTAAAAAAATCCTCAGAGGCAAGAAAATCACCTTCTGGAGTGGCTAGTTCCTTTATTCTCTGGAGGTAAAATGTCCACTTAATAGCAGTCCATTGAGACGAGCAGTTTGCCTAGCTGGAGAATGATTCCACCGTCATATCAGCAAAGTGTTAATAAAAGCTATTTCATTTCCCCATAGTAGTTCTTGATTTCATTACCCCTTTATTACATTTGTGCTACAATTTTGCAAGTTTTTAATCTGAAGCCTTGAAGTGTGATTCAGACTTTCTTTAAAATTTGCTAAATGGAAAATTTAGTATTTGCTGTTTATAAAGGCTGGTGTAGTTGTCTTTGCCATTAGTCCTTTACCTAGTATTCACTGAATAATCTTGCCACCTCTAGTAAGAAAGTATTATACACTCTTTCCACGCGATTTGCAATTTGGCTTACTCACAATGTTGATTGGCAAGCCTGGCTTGAGAGGTGTTCTCAAAGCTTCTAGAACATTCCCAGAGCCCTGAAGATTCTCAGACTGTCTCCAAGGCTGAATTCAAAATTGAATTGCCGGCATTTTCCTTTGCTGCCTTCTTCTAAACATCTTCTTGAAATTTACTGCGATCTATTTTCGTTGTATGGAGACAATTCAGGAATGTATCTCTTGTGAACTTATTACACTGTACTTATTCATATTTTCTGTTGCGTCAATATTAGTGTTAAATTGTAAAATGTTAAACTTTTAATTTAAAGTTTACTTTAAATTTAATTTTAAATTTATTTAAATTACTAAACCTATTTTTCAGTTTTTCCTATTCAGTTGAGAGCATCAAGAAGAAACTGAAGGCAAATCCAATGCCTTTACAGGTAATATTGGAAAAGTCTTAAGACATCAGAACTGTAAGTTTAGTAAAGTACAAATGTAAAATTCCAAAATGTTTTTATTTTCTGGAGAGACGCTGGTACCTTTTCCATCCTGTGTGTTTCATCCTGTTTTTATTCCTTATTGTAAATTGTGGTATATACTGTAGTTACAGACAGATCATGAGTAGAAAAGTAATAATAATTGAACTGAATTAAAGGAATATGACATCTTTCTCAAAATAAATATCTGCTAAAGAAGATTAAACTTTCTTGTTTGCTATCTGTGTAACTTTGATAGCTCCCTGATGTTATGTCTTCTTTTTGCATCACAGCTGCCTATTGGAAGTGGTAAATGTTTCACAGGGTTGGTTGATTTGGTTACCAATGAAAGACTGATGTGGCACACAAACTCTCGAACAGACGACGGACGAGCGTTTAAGAGTAGACCCATCAGCTCCACAGATGATCCTGAACTACATAAAGAAGTCAAAGAAGCAAGAAGTGCCCTTATAGAACAAGTAAAGTTTTAAAGTAAATGCATCATGCACAGTATACCATCCTTCTTGTTGAACTTGTTTCAAATGTGTAATTAGCCACAAACACAACAGATAAAATTAATTAGGCATACAGTAGTATTGTACTGTAATGCACTGATATTGATTATTTTTTGTGCTTAGCCTTAACCTAAAAGTACCTAAGTCTTCTGTTGTTTAATATATGATATTTTATCACCTAAATCCTCTCTAGTTACAGTATATAGATTTATAATAAATTCCATCTGTACCAAAACCTTAGTATTTCACAGGTTGAAAACATTTTAAAAACAAAGTTAATGGTGAGTTCCCATTAAAGATGACAGTTATCCATAGGGCGAGCCTCTGGATTCAATGCTCAGCTCGACTTAATGCTGCAGTAACCAGGATTAATTCTGGCTGTTGTGCTCTTGTATGGACTTTATCTTTTTTTTTTACCTTGGTTCCCAATACTACTTATTTTTCATTTTATTATTAGATGATACAAGTAGACAGAAGTTTAAAATCATATATTTTAAGCAAAATCACTGGTAAAATCATTTAAATTCTATGCTTATGAATAAGAGCAAAGATTTCTGTGAGCTATTGAAAAGCCAGAAGTCACCAAATATGTGTATGCACACATGTACAGCTCTGTCAGAAGTTAAGGAAACTAGATTCAAGGTTAGAAGGTCTTTTTCTATAAAACTTAATTTTCATTTTTCACTTAAGAAATAATAAACACAAAACAGATAGACTTAAAGGAGTCCATTGTATACCTTGTATTTTTCTTTTTATTTAGTTGATTTACATCTGAATATCTTGTAGTGTGATTTGTACCTGTTAAAGGTACTCACAAACTCGCAGGTTGATTTCTTTGACCTTGGGTTCGAGCCTGTTACTATCAGACTGTGACCAGGACTTCCCAGGCAGTGGAGTATAGTTGGGGGGGTAAAGTGGGATTATTCAGCCAGGACTCTGAGAGAAAAATAACATTCAGAACAATTGATAAATAAACAACTTTAAATGTCACAGACATGCCTGATCAGGATATAATGTTTTTTTTTTTACACAATAAAATTGACTTCATGGTTTTGTTGGCCTTCAAATGTGAGAAATGTACATTAACTATAAGGATTTCTTTCTTATCACCTTTGAAACTGCTTGTATTTAAAGCTGAACAATCTCAATCTACTGTAGGTAGGTATACTCAGATAGCAGATACATTTGTGAATAACCGGGGGCTTTTGCTAACTAGCTTTCTTGCTCATATGTTCAAAAACTCTTTTAAAATCTTCATCTTAAATTGATTTCAAACTTTGATGATGAATAACCAAAGCTTTTTCAATATTGCATCTGTGAAGTTGCTAAGATAGTTTTGTATGATTGCAGTGGGTCATAAATCATTTTCTGAAATGTGGCCCACCACACAAACTGTTTCCATTCAAAAACCATCTGGTCAGTTAACTCCATACTTAGTATGTGTTAGTGGTGATATTAATAAAATATAAATTCAGATTCCTTTTTAAATCAAGCAAACTAACAGCCATTTCTTAAAAACATCAGACTACTACTGTTATAAGAACTGCTCCATGGATTGCCTCAAAACTTGTTTTGGTTTCATTACACTAAAATATTTGCTTCAGAAATGTATTAGACATTATGTAGAAACATATTTAAGTCCACAGCGGGTCTCATCAAAAGCTGTTTGGCTAATTAACTTATTTGGTCCATTCTGAGTTCCGCTTTGATTAGTCTCAGTTCTCTCATACTGTAAGTGGGGACTTATGTTTGTCAAAACTACCCTTTTCTACTTTTATTTTATTGGTAATAATACCAACTTTTGTAGTAAAAATAAGGTTTTTCTTTGTGACTGCATTTGCACTGTTCATTAGGTTAAGAGCTGTGATAACTACCTAGACCTAGTTTCAAATTATCTGTCAGACCCAGTCATTGAGTAAAGGGTAACAGAAATGTAATTCTAACTTCTGATTGATATTTGCAGGTTGCTGATCTGGATGATGAATTTGCTGAACTAGTGTTAGGAGACTTCAGTGACAATTTGGACTTGATGCCTCTCGAGAAAGTAAGACGTCACAGTTAAAGTTGTCTAACTAGTAATGGGCTAGATCACCTTTCTGTTGACTCTGTTGTTTGTCCAGGATCTAGTGAAAATACACAAACACTATTATATTACAATCTTGTAGAACCATAAACAAAATGACTAGACAATCTGAGATGTCAGGTAAATCTCTTACCAGAATTTCCTGTATATCAATATGACTTATTGCACCTTCGTGTCTTGATTAATAATTACAATTCCCTGCATTTGCACCCGTGTTTGCATGGGTTTCCTCCAGGCATTCCGGTTTCGTCCCGCAGTCCAAAGACATACTGGTAGGTTAGTTGTCTTCTGGGAGAATTGGCCCTGGTGTGAGTGTGTGTGTCTGCGTGTGCCCTGCGATGGACTGGTGTCCTGTCCAGGGTGTACCGTGCCCCCCCGTGACCGTGAACTGGATGAAGAGGTCAGAAAACGGATGGATAGATGGATAGATAGATGGATTTCCTTATTGCGGGGTTAGGGGAGAATGTAATAGAAAGCTCGATGTGTGTGGAAAATATGCTCATCAGCAGTGTCCCGTCTTAAGCTGCAGGCTGCGATTCGCCGGGTGACTCTGGCTCGGAGCGCTGTTCCTGTGCTGTGCGGAAGTGCCCTGAAGAACAAGGGAGTGCAGCCGTTACTGGACGCCATCAACACATACCTGCCTGCGCCCAATGAAACACACCATGACCTCCTGTGAGTACGGTGCTAATGACTTCAGTGTCTCTTTTGAGACATTTAAATTAGGGTGACCATATTTTGGTTTTCAAAAAAAGAGGACAGGGATGGTAATCGACACTTGACACATGCCTCCAAAGTAATGAATCTTTATTACTTTTTCTAATAAAAAATCAATTTAAACTCTCTAGTTATTTTTAATCTTCTTACTAAACTTTTAAAAAGTTGCAGGGCTGCTATTTCTCTTTCATATTGGCAAATAAGGAAAAAACTAAACTATAGCCCTATTTTAAACTTGATTTTTTTTTCTCCATTTTAACACATCAAAAGTCTTAACATCTGAGGGAAAAATTAAGACATCATAACTTAGGAAAAGTCCTCATTGGTTGCAAAAATGATCAATTCTAATGAAACATTTTGAAATATAATGAAATAAGTTAAACATTGCTATTTCTCATGGCCATAAAAACAACCACACACACAAAAACCCTTTCTGAGCTACACTGCTTGTAAGTTCAAAACATCTACTGGTAATACATGGAATGAACGAAAATATGTAGGCCTATGTTTGTTTCACAGTCTGAGTAATGAGCAAAACAAAATCCCGGACAATTTTTGGAATTTTATAAATCCTGTTCAGACCGATATTTTTGGTCTCAAAAAAAGGACATGTCCGGGGAAAAGAGGATGTCTGGTCACCCTAATTTAAACACTTTCTTTAGTTTCTGTCTATAAACTATATTTATCTGTTCATTTAAAATTCTGTTGATCTTTTCCGCTTCAATCAAAGGATTTATCCTCTCACTGTGATTTTACCTTCCAATAACAGTTGTAATTATTGCTGTGTCATGCAGGTGTTTTTGCCGGTTTGTTTTGGGTTTACTTTCCGATCAAAAGGGAGAAGGAATCTCAGACCTGCTTACCTTTGAATTATGGAAAACAGTAGATAAAGTCACAGAAACAGAAATAGCACTGCTTGTAAAACATAGTTGTTTTAAATAGAAAACACTTTTACACTTCTGTGTTTATATTTTTCTCTGTTGAACAAAAATATTTAATCCTTATGTAAAGTGTAGCACATAATGTAAAATGAATATATAAAATAATAACACCTGCTTTCACTTTATTTAGGAGCTGCTATAAGGATGATCTGTGTGCCCTTGCTTTTAAAGTTCTCCATGATAAACAGCGTGGACCTCTAGTGTTTGTCCGCATCTATGCAGGAACCATGAAGCCCCAGTCTGCTGTCTACAACATGAGTAGAAATACCATGTAGGTATACGGATCTGACTTCAAATGCAGTAGAATCTGATCAAAGACATCATTAATAATGACAGGATTTTTAATAAAAAGCATAATTTTGTGAAATTGAATAAGCAGTAACGAGTCAGTGTAATGCAAAATGGTTTCAGATTAAATGCACTTAGTTAACTGTGCAGTGGGCTGACTGGCCTTCAGAAAATTTGTTTAGCATTAATAGGTTGACTCTCACTGGCCTGTGTTGCCACACAATCTCTTTTTAAAGTTCAGAGTGCCAGCTCCGATCTGCTTTCTGTCCTAGAGTAAGACCGATTCTTCAGTATTTTTCTACTATTTTGGTACAAAGGATACAAATGTTAGAGTCAGCATTATAAAAATTAAGTGAAGAAAACAGAATCACTAAGTTTTTCTAGAACCAGCAAAAACCTTCCAAGATTATTAGCTGATAAGAGATTTGATTGTACATTGGAACAAGAAAAGTGAAATAATAATTCTCCAATAAAGGTTCTGAAACTAGAGGTGTGGTTACCCATTTCAAGACAGAAGAAAATATCTTGAAAAGTCAGAAGTGATTATAATTACTTTTGCACTAAAAACTGTTCCTATTTATGTGGAACAGCAGCCATATCACCCTGCAACTCACAACTGGCAACCCACTGAAGCTAAGCAGGTGTGAGCCTGGGAGACCTCTTGGGAAAAACTAAGGTTGCTGCTGGAAGAGGCGTTAGTGGGGCCAGCAGGGGGCGCTAACTCTGCAGCTCATGTGGGCCCTAATGCCCCAGTGTAGTGACGGGGACACTATACTGTAAACAGGTAAACAGGATGAGACGTAAAACCGAGGTCCTGACTCTCTGTGGTCATTAAAAATCCCAGGGTGTTTCTCGAAAAGAGTAGGGGTGTACCCCGGCGTCCTGGCCAAATTTCCCATCGGCCTTCTAACAATCCCCCTCCATAAATTGGCTTCATTACTCTGCTCTCCTCCCCACTGATAGCTGATTTGTGGTGAGCGTTCTGGCGCACGATGGCTGCCATCGCATCATCCAGGTGGATGCTGCACATTGATGGTGGTGGAGGGGATCCCCATTACCTGTAAAGCGCTTTGAGTGGAATGTCCAGAAAAAGTGCTATATAAGTGTAAGCAATTATTATTATTATGTGTAGAATCTATTGAGATGATGTGCTGTTTAGCCGTACAACACAGTATTTGATATGGAGATCCCTTTTTATTTTCTTTTTATCCTTACAGGAGAATCAAATGTGGATTTTATTTGTTATCTCTTGCATCCATCTAGGGAGAGGATGAGTCGGCTCTTGCTTCCATTTGCTGACCAGCATGTTGAGATTCCTTCTCTAACTGCTGGAAATATCGCTCTCACTGTTGGCCTGAAGCAGGTGAGCCTTCCATATTTCACCACCAAGAGTAGAAGAAACCACATACCCAAATCAAATTGCTCTGTGGCTGGGGTTCTGTAATATCCTTCAAGCATAAATACAATGCTGTTTTCATAATTCAGGATTAGAAAGAATCAGCATTGATGAATGCATTTCAAACCATAATGAAACATGTAACATTAACGTAATATCCTCCATTTTAAATTAAAAAATTGACTACATTTCTAGGCATGGACAGTGCCATATTCTGGGATTTAGAACTGGGCAACCAGACGTCCGATGAGGTGAATTACACTGTAACAAGCAGGCTTGTGAATACTTTTAATCCAATAGAAATATTACTCTTGAATTTAAGACTGTTTTGCTGTCAGAAAAGACTTACTTGTTAACTCTGCATGCAGATCATGTTGGAACATTTCTGCGGGCAAGTGTCTGCTACACAACCTGTACTCGCACACCTTATTACATTAGCCATTTCAGTGACTAGTGAGCTGGAAGGGCTGCATCACATTGCAATTCTCGCAATCTCTCAACAACATGGCGACTGTAAAGTACTGACACAAAGTTCACAATTTTGTGCTTAATTCTGAATTTAAACCATTTTGCGATTCAATGAATTTGGTTTGTCACCTAGGTTTAGTAACCGGTCTGAGAAATTGGGATTGCAGTTCCCCTTTAAATAATAAAACTTTTTTGCAGACTGTCACTGGGGACACCATTGTCTCCTCCAAATCTTCTGCAGCAGCTGCCGCCCGCAGAGCTGTCAAAACTCACGGCAAAGAGCAATTTTCAGGCCGGGAGCAGGAGACCCTCGTTCTGGTGGGAGTAGAGATCCCTGAGCCTGTTTTCTTCTGCACCATTGAGCCCCCTTCAATGGCCAAGCTGCCAGGTAGATGCTTTTCAGTAGTCAATAGCTTGAAATATTATTTAAAGAGCAAATTTGGTTGCAAACAGTAGGTAAAATACTCAGCAATGATTTTGATTAAATGTTCTCTCATTAATACAGTTATGTAAAAAGTCTGATTAGGGCATTTTTCCTTTAGTTCCTGAGCGGTCAGGAACGGCAATCTAAATTCAAAACTCAAATATTGTGTAATAAGATTTTGTGAAAGTGTATTTGTTTCTTTGTCCAGTTTCAATTCTGTTATAGGAGGTTGTTTTTTTCTGCTGTCTTTTTTAAAATTCACTTTTTAATGTTTGACTGTTCATTGGATCCTAACTTTAAGGTTTGGGTATGTCAGTAATTTACCTAAATTTGAGTAATGTTGCCATAATGAAGTGAGCAGTGTTTAGATTTAAGGTGCATTCAGACCCAGCTAAAAGCCTCTTCTTTGTTTCGGCTATTCTGGAAGACTTGGAGCATGCCCTGACTTGCCTGCAAAGGGAAGACCCCAGCCTGAAAGTCAAGACAGATCCTGACTCAGGACAGGTGATAATAATTAATTGCCAGTTATTTTTGTTTTTTATATAAAAAGAGTAAAGATAATGTGCACACCTTCCTTTGATACATATACTGTGGAGTTGTCTTTCTACAGCTGAGTTAAATCTGAGTTAAATTATTGATGTACATGTTCGATGATAAAACATAAGCATCTAACAAGCCAGCTTTATGTTCCACTCAAGGAAACCCAGTCACGGTTGGCAATTTATAAGATAAGATAGATAAGATAAAATCACTGTATTGGCCATATACAATTTCTTGTATTCAGAATCTGTCTTTTTGCATACCCTACCTTGCTCTCCAGGAGACACAGACTGGGAGGGAAGCTTGCGGTTAGAGCACACGGTCAGCCATTTATACGGCACCCCTGGAGCAGTTGGGGTTAAGGGTCTTACTCAGGGGCCCAAGTAGTAGCTGGAGTAGGATTCCTCTGAAGGCCATGGGATTCAAAACACAGCTGCAGATCCTTAGGCACAGAGCCACTGCACCATATTGGGTGTACTCCAGTCTTGTATCATGTGTAATTGGATGTGCAGAAGGATTCATTTATTATCTGTATGAGCCTATGTGGGGTTAAGATCCAGTTATGACCATAAGTGAAAAGTGATGGGAGTTCTTGCCTTGTTATTTAGTAAACATAAACTGATTTTAGATCATAGTCTTTTGATGTTGTTAAGGAAGGGCTAAGGCATTAGCAAGCAAGGCATTAGCAGGACACAAGTGCCCTGCAGACTCCAAAGTGATGTGTTACAACACAGGTTCTAGCACCTTGGTACAGCTTACTGTTGTAATTTAGCGCCTTAGTGATTTCTACTGTTTTGTCAAATTAATTTGCCTTATTCTTTCAAAGACTGTACTGTGTGGAATGGGGGAGCTACACATTGAGATCATTCATGATCGAATAAGAAGAGAATATGGCATTGAGACTCACCTTGGACCTCTACAGGTGGCCTACAGGGAAACCATCTTGCAGTCGGTTTCCACCACAGGTAACACATTCACACTTAGGCACAATATGCCAGTAAAATATTCAGTATGCCAGTAAAAGTTGTTCTCCTCTGTCAGACACACTGGACAGGAGCGTTGGAGACAAGAGACACCTGGTGACAGTTGAGCTGGGAGTGAGCCCCTGCGCAGAGGGTAGCTCCACTGCTGCCCCTGCCATCAGCTTTGAGGACAGTGTGGAAGAGCAGCTTCCTTTGGATGTGAAAGAGGCAGTGGAGAATGGAATACAAAGTGCTTATCTCCAAGGTAACAGGGCTCTTAAATGGACTTGGGCTGTCAGTGACAGGAAGTTTTCTGTGGTTATTAAAGCACCATTATTTGGGTCAGTTTCAGATTCTGATACCATGAATAGCTTCCTATACAGAGGATGTGTACTATTGTATGACAAAATGTCCAAAAAAAGTTTATCCAATTTGATATTGTGATAATAAAGTCATGTATGTGAAGACTCACCTTGAAGCATTATTTTTAAGCACTGCAGTTTGCATAAACTCTGGTTGTTTACATGTCTTTTGTTTTGAACAACTTTTCATTTAACTTCTTAAGAGTCAGTAGTGGAGATCAAGTTCTGGTGCTACGGTGTCAATTTTTACTGACGTGTTTGAAATAGTGATGTATATTCTGTACATTTTATAAGTCCTTTAAAATTATACTTTCATATGTTATGCTGTCTAATTAACTAAGGTAAGGAGTATTTATGGCATTTAATATTTATGGTGTATACACAGCTGAAGAGAGGTTTTGAACTACTCCACCTGAATTAGGTAGTGTTAAATAATGACATAGATGTGTAGGTGTACTGTCAAAAAAGCTTCTAAAAAGCTGCAGTTTTACATGTTTGTCCATGTGCTTTCTACATATGCAGCCATTTCCTGATTCTCCAATGCCATTCAATGTAATTCCAGGTCCACTGCTGGGGTTCCCGGTGCAGGATGTGGTCACTACAGTTTACTCTGTCAGCATACAGCCTGGGACATCAATGGCCATGGTCTCAGCCTGTGTGTCTCGCTGTATGCACAAGGTAACATTTACTCAGAAAGGAAAGATGAAGACTAGGATAATCATGCAGTGCAATACAATTTTTTCAACCTTTGAAATCCGCAGAGGCCCAAACCTGAAAGCTTAAAAAACAAGGATGTGAGCTGTTGACTAAGTGCACTGGGAGCAAGCGCTCATGATGGAAGACTGATTTCTAGAAAGTAGTCCCCAAAATGAATAAACCAATGAAAGAAAATATATGTAGAAAGAAAAGTCATTGCTTATTGCAAGACAGAAGTTAAAGATGCAATTGTTAAATGTTCTGAGTAGCCCAGGGCACAATACATAGTGGTTAGAAGAAGTGTTGTGCTGTTTTTTATCATGTGATCAGGTTCTTATAGTGCAGCCTGTTTCTGCTCTGTTACCCAAAGGCTCTTAAGCAGGCTGGAGGACAGGTGCTGGAGCCATTGATGAGTCTTGAGATAACAGCCAATGAGGAGCACCTGGGTGCTGTGCTGGGAGACCTGGCGCAGAGGCGTGGCTGTATTCATGAGATCCAGAGTCGACTGGACAACAAAGTGGTGATGGCTTCTGTACCTCTGGCCGAAATGATGGTACATACTGCATCACTGACTCAGATATCTACCAGGCTCTTGGATTTCTATATGTGCCTGTTTTATTCCACATTTCTACCATGCAATCATCATTGAAAGTGTCATAAAGCACGCTTCGTTTTTATGTACCAGTTCTTTAATATTTAAACAATCTATTTGATGCTGCTTTAACATATTGTTAAACCAATATGCCAACAACAAAATCAGTTTGGTTTCTTCCAGTTTTATTTAAAAATACAACTCAAATAAATATCAAATGATATGTTAACTAATGTTTACTCCTGCATTCAGTCTTAATCTATTCAAATTTATTGATTAATAGACTGGCCAAAAGACAGGGGTTTTGTGAGAGAGTAAAGGTTTATTGTTTGTATAGAACATTTTATAAGTTTGTCTGTCCTTCAGGTTTCATTACTATATGGATTTTGTTGTTTAAAAACATTTAAAACAAAATATTCATCAGGAAACAATGGAGTGTGATGGGAGTGAGCATTTCTTTACAAAAATGACTTTTCTTTTGTTCATCTTTCTCACAGGGTTACTCCACCGTCCTTCGCTCTTTGACATCTGGCACTGCCACCTTCACACTGGAACTGTCCAGCTAC